TCCATGCAATTCTTGAGGGATCCCGAACCCGCAACGCCTAAATTCCGTCGTTTTACGATCCGTTAATTTTGCTTGCTTTCTTGTATTCCGACACTCATCACAAATCATACTTTTATTTAACTATCAATCTAGCTTAGGGATAGATTAACACAACCTAGTCCTCGTGTTCGACCCCGTTACTACAACTATCATATACTTGCGGATAGAGGTACGAATCGGGTACTAAATATAAGACTCGGTGCGTGCGCATCACCAAACTCTCTCAACTACCGGATGGGTCTAATGGGCGAAGATTATCGATCTTCTGCCAACCTGGATCATGAAGTTTAAGAGCATCTCTACAACAAAATGATGCTCTCTCGAGTTCTCTGGCTTCTCCTGTGATCTCTCGATGATTTCTGAAGCCCAAGACGTCTCCTATTTATTTGCTTGGCAGTTGGGCTTCTTCCTTTACTGAAAATGGAAGTCCGGATGCAAAAGAGGATGTTTTCCCGTAATGCAACACGTTCGTATCAAATGCAACACGGTCCGTGTCAATTCTCTGTTAAAAATCTGTACTTTAGACATGGGTTGAACACGAGCGAGTTTGAATCAACACGGCCGTGTCGAATGACAACACGGTCCATGTCAATTTTCTGAGCAAAACTTCACTTTTTCAGCTCGGACACAACACAGCCGTGTCGAATGCAACACGGTCCGTGTCGATTCTTCAACTCGAACATGCTTGACAGATTTGCTCATAACTTTATGTTCCAATATCGGATTTATGCGATCTTGGTGTCTTGCGTAGATATTGAAGAGAGCTTTCCAATGAGGTAGAGAACACGCAATTTGGACTTGTAGAGTGGAAGTTATTGGACTTGCAAAATCTGACTTTTTAGGCTTCATGTTTTTCTCCGGAACAACTCCAAATGTTCCCGTTTCGTCTGTGATGTTCCGTAGTCCATGTTTTCCACTTCTTTTGCTCTCTTTTATGTATGAATACCTGTTTTAACACCAAAGAAAGCAACCAAGTAATATCGAGACCAAATATGCTCTAGAATGCCTATAAATATGCAAAACCGAGTAAAATTCACTAGACATCCTATACCAAAATGTCACCAAAATACATGTCATCAACCAACTCAGTCCGTTTCTTTCGGTCAGTCCGCCATTCCTCGCTCGGACCTGCGCTGTCTTCGCTTGGTCAGGCGGACCAACTTTTGGTCCGGAGCTGACCAGCGAGGACTTTGGTCCTCCTGATCAAATACGCAGTCTAGAGTCTGATCTGCCTACTGGTCCGGCTGACCAACACCTTGGTCCGGCTGACCGCGGACAGATCAGATTCGGGACAGGTTTCTAGGGTTCTGAAGATTAAGGTTTCACTCCGTTTCGTCACACCGTTAACTTGTCCTAGACTCCATACCATCTATGCATCATTTAACAATCACAAATATCATTAAACATGCATAGATTCAATGATTACATGCAATTTAACGATTAAAATAATGCAATCATAGGACAAGCACAGCGATATACAGAGAACCAGACTCTGATACCACTGTTCGGATTCACTACGGGTTCCTAGCATGTGATCTCATCGATCTAGGGTTTGGTTGCTTAGGTTTCATGCAGCGGAAGGAAGATTTAAACCTAGACAAACGTTACACGCAACCAAAATTGCAAAACCCGAAAGATCGTGTATATAACCGAGGGAAACGTTACTTATCTCGTTTTCGATGAAACTTGAAGCAAATATCGATCCAAGGCCTGTTCTTAATCACTTAGGACTGAAGTTACAGTCCCTCTACACGTATCTACACCGAGAGAAGGATTCCAAACGATTTGGAACGTATATGCTAGGATTAGTGAAAAAAAGGGTAACTCGAGAGACCGGATCTAATCCCGAGAAGCTCAAAAAATGAAAAGAATGAATTCTCTAGGGTTCTTAGATGGTTGTCTGAGTTTTAGGGTGGTCTTAATTAAGTATGGACGAAATCCCAAACTTAAATAAGCTTAGAAAACCCTAAATCCGAAATTTTGGAAAATTCCAGATCCCGGTCCGACGGACCAAGATTAGTCTGTGATAACACGTATTTCGGGTGATGTTTTGATATAGGATGCCTAGCGTATTTTACTCGGTTTTACATATTTGTAGGCATTCTAGGGCACATTGAGCTTCGATATTGCATAGTTGTGTTCTTTGGTGTTTAAATAGGTTTTCACATAAAAAGAGCAAAATGAGTGGAAAACATGGGCTACGGAACATCACGAACGAAAGGAAACATTTGGAGTGTCTCCAGAGAAAACATGAAGCTCAGAAAACGTCAGACTGCAGGTCCAATAACTTTCACTCTACAAGTCAAAATCATGCATTCTCTACATCATTGGAAAGCTCTCTTCGATATCTATGTGAAACACTAAGATTACCCAAATCCGATATCAGGACAGGAAGTTATGAGCAAATTCGTGATGCCCGTCAAAACTGCAATGTGACACGATCGTGTCAATTGTGTAGATACGATCGGGTCACTTAAAATCTAGAAATTTTTCAAATTTTCCCAAAAGAAAGAGGAGATAATTAGGGTTAGCCTCCAAGGTCGAATTCATTCATACTTTTGACAAAAAACACATCCTAGAGCACACAAAAAGAGAGAGATTATCAAGAGGCAAGAGATCGGAGTAGAAGACGGAGATTACGAAGCCGAGAAATCGACTAAGCATTCTTCCTTTCTTCTATTTTACGATGTTTTGTTGTATTGATATGAACCCCGACGTCTCGATGTTTAGCAAGTAGTTCCATCGTTGTAGGTTAAGATTTGCTATGTAGGGATCTTTGGTTTTTAATTCCAGTCTTTATGGATTTATTTATTGTATTCAGTTTATTGAATTGTTCTCAATGCGTTTGATCTTGTTGGCCGCTTGGTCGAATAAACTTAGGGTTTTAATTCACATAGACATATGAGATGATAACCTGGAAATAATTCAATAAATAGAACATGTGTCACATCGGGAGATGGGTATTTGCCTAGGAATCATGATAGCGTTCTTTCATGCATCCAGAGTTTTAGACAATTGAATCGGGAGATTGGTAGGATTAAACCTGGATAGTGAGATTAGACTTGGAAGAGCTAATCTCTACCTTAGAGCTTGAATTCCTTGGATAGGATAGATAAGCCACTAAGTTTGCATCTTTTGAAAGATCATTGCATATAAAGCAATCCCAAAGCCTGCAATGTGCATCATTCATAGTTTACAGTCGTTTTATCGTTTGCTTTGTTACACTCTTACACCCACATTATTTTCTTTGGAATTAGACTTAGATTTGGATTCAATTCCCTTGTCTACTTTTGTCCCTGTGTTCGACCCTAGTTACTACAATTGAACTGTACACATGCGGTGTTTGTCGAATCTAGGATATTATTACTTGAACAAATTTATACACCTAGATTTGCGACATCAAGTTTTTGGCGCCGTTGCCATAGGTCTTGCTTGTTTTTCTTTTTCTTAAGTGATTTCTCACGTTTTCTTCGTTTGTTGTTGTTTTTCGTCTGGTGCACAGGTTTTTCTAGTGCATGACCAGGAGTGCTAGGATATCAGACCTAGTACCTCTTGATCGTGAGCTTGAAAGGACCGTTAGATACATCCGACGTCAACGAAGACAAATGGAGAACGACCGAAATTTTGCTCTTCCCGATGGTGCCGAGGGTAATGCTGACTCAACCTTTGCCCAGTACAACACACCTAAGCACACTGAGCTTTTGGCTGGTATTCGACCACCGGCCATAGACATGTCTATTTCGAGCTGAACTCGTATACTATTCAGATGTTGGGCAATAATGCTTTCCAGGGTAGGCCGAACGAAGACCCGAACGCACATCTAACTCGCTTTAAGATGATTTGTCGTTCTATCAAGAGAGATAACAGGGTGACAGAGAATACACTCCACTTGATTGCTTTCCCCTGGACTCTCTTGGATGCTGATTTGGAATGGTGTTATGATCTGACCCCCGATTCCATCCACACATGGGAACAGCTGGAAGTGCAGTTTATGTCAAAACGTTTCCCAGCTCATCGCACTCAAGCAGCTCTTTTTGGCATTCATTTATTCAAGCAAGATCACGGGGAAAGCCTTTATAATGCTTGGGAGAGGTACAAAGGATATCAGAAGTCTTGCTCATCACGGGCTTGACAAGAAGTACCTGATCAACACCTTCTTCCGAGGACTCAGAATGGATACCAAGACTTTGATCCGAGCTTCTTGCGGTGGGAGCATCCAGAACAAGTCATTCACCGAGCTAGAAGAACATATTGAGATGATGGCGTAAGAAGAAGACGCTCCGAACGAGTACTCTAGAGATCTGCCAAGAGAATGCAATGATCAGACCATGCATATAATTCTCTAACAATTGGCTGTCCTCAATGCTAAGTTCGAAGATTCCAACCGACCCTCTAGGACCAAGCATTTGACGCCAACACAAGAGGAGCACGGTATGTACGCATTGGATGAGAGAGTCGAAGGTGTGAACTATGTGGCCAATAACTCCTACTCGAACACGTACAATCCGGGGTGGAAGAATCATCCCAATCTCTCCTACAAGTCAAACAATGTGGAGAATCCCGTGCCGAACAACTTCAGAGCATCTAACAACTCGAACCAGAGGATTCCTCCCAGTTTTGCTTTTCAATCCAGGGTTCCTAATCAGACATCCAACTACAGAGCTCCAGGGCAATCCTATATCAATGTCACACCTCCAGTTAATCATGAATCCAAACCACGATACGCACACTTTGCTTATACAGTTTATACAGAATCAGGAGAAAGCGAACCAGAATTCTGAATTCAGTTCGCAAGCATCGAGACTCACTTCAAGCTCATAGACAACCAGATTTCTCAGCTAGCATCAGCCTCTCAAAGACCGTCCGGATCTCTTCCAGGTAAACCTGAGACTAACCCCCGTGAACATGTCAATGCGATTACTTTGAGAAGTGGTAAGCAGGTAGACGCTAAAGATCGACCAATGATTGAGAAGGGAAAAAGCTCGAAGACTACAGTTGTAGACATCCCCGATGATGAACCTGAACAGGGTTACGTGCCTCCTCCTAGACCACCACCAGTACCATTCCCATCTCGCCCGAGGAAGCACAACAAAGACAGCCAATTCGCAAAGTTCGTTGAGATGATGAAGAAACTCGAGGTAACCATGCCATTCACTGATGCTATTTTGCAGATTCCCTCGTATACGAAGTATTTGAAAGATATCCTGACCAAAAAGAGGATTGTTGAGAAAGAAACCGTAGCGTTTACTGCCGAATGCAGCGCTTTGATCCAACACGAGCTTCCGCTTAAACGGTCCGATCGAGGTAGTTTCTCAATCCCTTGTAAAATGGGTAATGTTTCCATCAATTGTGCACTCTATGATCTAGGAGCCAGCGTCAGTGTTCTTCCATTATCGATCTTCAAGAAGTTGAATGTGGGTGAGCTAAAACCCACTAGAATGACTCTTCAACTTACCGATCGTTCCGTTAAATACCCTGTTGGGATACTTGAGTATGTGCCACTAAAAGCTGGGAACTTCTATATCCCAGTTGACTTCGTGGTTCTCGACATGGACGCAGACTCTAAGGTACCTATTATTCTTGGTCGTCCATTCCTTAACACTGCAAATGTTGTTATCCATGTTAGAGCAGGTAAGCTGACCATGAAGATCGAAGATGAGACGGTGGACAAGGGCATGACCACCTACTTAGAATTGAGTTAGAGGTGATCTAACCAATGTATTAACGGTTTGAGTTCTGATCCTTTGTCTCACGAAATCATATGTTGAACAAGGGCATGGTTTGAGTCACCCTTCAAGTTCAACCGCTTTCTCATCTTGGCAAATCGACTAATAAAATAGATGCAACTTCATCTATAGCGTGGCCACGTGTTTTTCATAGTCCGACTTCCACGAGAGGGCCCAGCGATATCTCTCCTGTTAAGGAGGTGACAAGTCCCATATTGCATGTCTACTATCTCCATATGATTCGTGAACGTATCTGATCAACGCCGTTATCATCATCCGGTTAGAATCGACGTCTGACGCAGTCAAGACATGCCACTCCTCATATCAGATACTCTAGATATCTCAGGTATGAGGATCCAAGAACGAACCGCTGTATGAGATTCAAGTCATGACTCTGTCCATGTGACAATCTCATGCGGGTCATCCAGTCACTCGTTCACAACGAGTACCCATGATTGTGATATGCATCCAATGCATCGATCACACCTCATACTAGTCTTAATTCATCATTGTTCCCACAATGATAACTGATCAGGAAGTTTAGAATCATTCTCTAATGATTCAAGGATACCAAAATATAACAAACATGTCAATCATATAACGGGAAGAGTAATGCATTCATAAACCAATGAATCAATACAAAGTCAAAATGCCATACTACGGATCATCCTAGATCATTACAACCAACATAGAATTTACAGGTTATTACATTCTACCCCCCTTAAAATGAATTCGTCCCGAATTCTAATAAGAAAGTTAAGAGAAGATGCGTATCGAAAAGATGTGGGTACTGATCGCGCATCTCCTACTCTGACTCCCATGTCATGTCTGAGATTCTTTGACTCCCCCATAAGACTTTAACCAAGGGAATCTCTTCCGATCGATAATCTCCTGTGGTCGCAATACATGCGAAGGATCCGCGATGTACTTCCGTAGCATAGATACGTGAAAGAAATCGTGAATGTGGCCGAGCTCTGGGGGTAACTTCAATCGATATGCTACGGCTCTGACCTTCGCAATCACAGGATAAGGTCCAATGTTACGCGGCTTGAGTTTTCCCGTCTTCCCAAACCGTGTGTGACCTCTAATCGCTTGAACTCGAAGAAATACAAGATCGCCCACTGCTACAGTGAAGTCTCTCCTCCTCTGATCAGCATAAGACTTTTGGTGATCCTGCGTGACCTTTAAGTTGGCCCTTGATCTTGTGAATAACCTCTGTCGTCTCCTCCACAATCTTAGGTCCGAATACACGTCGCTCTTCAATCTCCGTCCAACACAAAGGGTCTTACAAGGCCGCCCGTATAAGGCCTCGTAAGGTGGGATGCCGATGCTGGCGTGGTAGCTGTTGTTGTACACAAACTAGCACAATGTCAGATACCTATCCTAAGGAACTCCCCACTCTAGAATACACGCTCTCAACATATCCTCGAGCGTCTGGATGGTTCACTCCGATTGTCCGTCTGTCTGAGGATGATAAGTATCGCTCATCCTCAACTAGGTCCCCATCGCGCTCTGAATAGCACTCCACAACCTCGCCATAAACTGAGGATCTTGATATGAAATGATCTCACTTGGGACTCCATGTAATCGGACAATCTCGTCTATGTAAATCTGTGCCAGCTTATCCACTGTTTACTCTTGCCGGATCTTGCCGGATCGGAATGAAGTATGTAGACTTTGTCAATCGGTTGACGACTACCCAAATAACATTCTTCTTTGTCGGGGTCATCGGTAATCCAACCACAAAATCCATCGCAATCGAGTCCCACTTCCACTCCAGGATCTCCAATGGCTGTATTTCCCGCTGGGCATCTGCCGCTCTGCCTTCACCTGTTGACAGCTCAGGTAGTGTGCTACAAATTCCGCAACATCTCTCTTGATACCCGACCATGTGTACCATTATCTCAAACCCTGATATATCTTGCTGGCTCGCGGATGTATAGCTAATCGAGACTGATGAGTCTCTCGCAAGATATCCTATCTCAACTCATGATCTGCCGGTACACAGAGACGGTGATGAAGCCTTAAGGCATGTTCCTCGTCCATCTGATATCCTTTCTCATCGTATTTGCTGATCTCATTGATAATCTTCTGCAAGTCTGGGTCATGACACTGTCCTGCTATCACCCGTCTCCTCAAACTCGAATCGTGATCCTCCTCAATCTCCATATGTCCCAACATAGCTGATAACACAACTATGTTCTCCTGCGAGGATGATAGTACCTGAATAACCGATAAAATCTTCTTTCCGGCTTAAGGCATCTGCAACTACATTTGCCTTACCCAGATAATACGCAATCTCCAAGTCATACTCGGTTATCAACTCAATCCATCTATGCTCTCGAAGATTCAGATCTTTCTGCGAAATCACATAGGTTAAGCTCTTGTGATCAGTGTTGAGCTTAACCTTCTTTCCATATAGATAGGATCTCCAAATCTTCAGTGCATGTACCACTGCTGCCAGCTCCAGATCATGTGTCAGATAATTCTCCTCATGTTTCGTCAACTGTCGGGATGCGTATGCAATCACATGTCCTTCCTGCATCAATCGCAACCCAAACCCTGTCTCGACGCATCGGTATAAACCTCATAGAGAATACCTGGCCATGGTAATGTTAGGATAGATGCGGTCGTGAATCGTCTCTTGAGCTCCGCAAAGCTCGCTTCGCACTCTGGTGTCCAATCAAACCGCACATTCTTCCCTGTCAACTTCGTCATTGGTTTTGTCAGCTTGGCGAAACCCTCGATGAATATTCTATAATAACATGTCAATCCTAAGAAACTGTGAATCTCGATGGCATTGATAGGCGTCTTCCACTCCGTCACTACTTCAATCTTCGCCGGATCTACCTGTATACCCTGAGCCGAGATCATATGGCCCAAAAATCCGACTTCCTGCATCCAGAAAGCTCATTTGCTAAACTTTGCGTATAGCTTATGCTCCCTCAACCGCCTCAAAACCATATGCAAGTTTTCCTCATGACTGAGTCGATCCGGTGAATAGATCAAGATGTCATCAATGAAAATGATGACGAATTCATCGAGATAATCCATGAATACACGATTCATCAACTACATAAACACTACAGGAGCGTTCGTCAATCCAAAAGGCATAACAACGAACTCAAAATGCACATACCGTGTATGGAAAGCCGTCTTCTGCACATCCTCGGCTTTCACACAGATCTGATGGTATCCCGATCGTAAATCGATCTTCGAGAACCACTGGGCTCCCTGTAACTAATAAAGTAATTCATCAATACTCGGTAATGTATACCGATTCTTGATGGTTACCTGGTTAAGTCCTCGGTAATCGATACATAAACGCATGCTACCGTCCTTCTTCTTGACGAATAGCACGGGTGCTCCCCAAGGCGAAACGCTCAGTTGAATGAATCCCTTCTCCATCAATTCATTCAACTGTTTCTTCAATTCTGCCATCTCTGTTGGAGCCATCTGATATGGTGTCTTGGATACCGGTTCTGTACTTCGAATAACATCAATACATAAATCTACCTCTCTTTCTGGTGGCAACCCAGGCAAATCCTCCGGAAAGACATCGAGAAATTTTTGAACCACAGATGTCTCGTCCAATCTCACCTCTGACTCCTTCGTTGCAGTCACTACAACGAAGAATGCTTCATCCCCCTTCCTGGTCATCCGAATGGTTTGGAATGCTGAAATAATCGGGAAAGGGTTCCGTGCTCTATCTCCTAGAAACTCAAGGTTTCCTACCGCATCTGTAAACTGAATAACTCGCTGACGACAATCAATGTGTGTCTGATGCACGAATAACCAATCCATTCCCAATATCAGGTCGTACCCCTAAATAGGTACTATGATCAAGTCAGGTAGAAGATTTCTTCCGCAAACTACTAAAGGAATCCCACGCAGTACACCAGTCACTGGAAGGATCTCCCCCGAAGGAGTATGAACTCTATATCGTTCAGCCGTATCAATATCCATCACATCTAAGGTTTCAGCCATCCTCAAACTCAGGAAACTATGTGTAGCACCCGTATCAAACAAAGCATGATAAGCGGTGCCCTGAATATGTATAATACCTGTGATGGTAGCAGCATCAATCTGCTCTAGGTCACCCTCAACAACTGCATCAATGGTGACCATCTCTGGGGCATAGTAGGTCTCATCCTCCTAGGCCTCTGCCTCCGCTGAAAGCATGTAGACTCGCGGCACTACGCCCGCTCTACGTGGTTGCTGGGGACGTGGAGGTCTAGCTCCCTGGTGAATAGGAGCAGGCACGTTCTCTGTACACTGGTTAGCGAAATGGCCAGGTTGACCACAACGGTAACAAGTGTAACCCGAACGACATGGACCAACATGATCTCGCCCGCAACGTGCTGATGGCGGTGGAACCACTGGACGAACTGCTGGTACTCTCCCCCTATCACAGGGCTGAATCACCTGTCTTGCACTCGGAAAAGAGCGAGTAAACGTGAATCTCCTCAAATGATTCATCTCTCAGTTCCTTGCCTCTTGTTGCTCCTCTTGTTCTCTCCTCTCAAACTTCTGCAGCTGACTGATATACCTACTCAATGTAGGATACTCCTGAATCTCAATCCGCCTACGCAGATATGGTCGCAATCATGGCACAAATTTCTGGATCTTCAGCTTCTCGGTCGGCACCAAGTGTGACCCATATCGCAGCATACGGGTGAACTCTGCCTCATAAACAGCTAGTGTACGATCACCCTGCTCTAAGTGGAGAAACTCCACTATCCGGTGATTATGATCCTCCTTCCTACAATACTTCTCCTCGAACTGTGTGCTAAACTCCTCCCAAGTAAACTAGTGGCCAGGTGCAGCCTCACAAACCACTTCTTCCCATCAGTGAAGGGGTTCTCCGAACTGATGGCGGCTCGCGATCTCTATCTGGTACTGTAACGGGCATCTGACGTAATCCAGCTCCCTCGAAATGTGGATCAGCCAATCCTCAGCAAACCTCGGGCCTCTGA